ATAATTTTATATATATATATATATATATTATTTTTTTTTTTTTTGAGACGAGATCTTGCTCTATCACCCAGGCTGGAGCACAGTGGTGCGATCATAGTTTACTACAACCTCAAATTCCTGGACTCAAATGACCTTCCTGCCTCGGCTTCCCAACTAGTAGGGACTAGAGGTATGAGCCACCATGCCCAGCTGATTTTTTATTTTCATTTTTTTTGTTGTGTTGCCCATGCTAGTCTTTAATTCCTGGGCTCAAGGGATCCTCCTGCCTCAGCCTTCCAAAGTGCTGGGATTACAAGCATGAGCCACCACATCTAGCCTAAATATAATTCTTTTTAATCCTTAAAACAAGTTTCTAAGGAAGTAATATAAAGTTTTCAATTAACTACAGACACTTGAGTACAGTGTTATGTTTGTGTTACTTTGGTTAAGCTATAATCTGGGTCTCGAAAGTATTCTAATCAAGACTACAAGTCTAGGGTGGTCTGCTAACACCATTTCGAAGAATGCATGGCCTATGAGGAGACAGCTGGTGTTTTAATCAGGAAATTCATTCTTCACTGCAACAGTTTCTGCTAGGCATGTCTTAATCAATGACCAATGGTTTGCTCATTAACATACTCAAGGTCAGAATTTTTTTTTTTTTTTTTTGAGATGGAGTCTTGCTCTGTTGTCTAGGCTGGAATGCAGTGGCACAGTCTCAGCTCACTATAACCTCTGCCCCCGGTTTCAAGCAATTCTCCTGCCTCAGGCTCCCCAGTAGCAGGGATTACAGGCATGCACCACCACGCCCAGCTAATCTTTGTATTTTTAGTAAAGATGGGGTTTTACCATGTTGGCCAGACTGGTCTTGAACTCTTGACCTCAGGTGATCCACCCACCTCAGCCTCCCAAAGTGCTGGGATTACAGGCGTGAGCCACCGCGCCCGGCTGTTTTTTTTTTTTTTAAACCTTTTGTAGAGATAGGGTCTCCCTATGTTGTCTAGGCTGGCCTCGAACTCCTGGGCTCAAGTGATCCTCCCACCTTGGCCTCCCAAAGTGCTGGGATTACAGACATTAGTGACGATACATGGCCTAAAATTAATGTTCTCCTTGGATAATAAATTTCTTGAGACAGAAACCGTAGTCTTCATATTTCGGTGTCATTCCAATTCCAGTTGTTAATATTTAAGTAAGGTAAGGAGCTATACTTTATTTGAATGAACCAAACATTTAAAATTGTGGGAGGTTGGGTGCGGTGAAACCGTCTCTATAAAAAATTTTAAAAATTAACTAGGTGTGGTGGCACGCGCCTTTAGCCCTAGCTACTCGGGGAGCTGAGATGAGAGGACAGCTTGAACCCACGAAATCAAGGTTGCAGTCAGCTATGATTGCCCAACTACACTCCAGCCTGGGCAAGAGCAAGATCTCATCTCTAAAATTAAAAAAAAAAATAAATAAAGAAAAAAAAAAGACATTTAGAAAAACCAACTCAGCCAGGTGTGGTGGCTTATGCCTGTAATTCCAGCACTTTGGGAGGCCGAGGTGGGAGGATTACTTGAGCCCAAGAGTTCGAGACCAGTCTAGGCAACATACTGAGGTCCCATCTCTAGTAAAAAAAAAAAAAAAAAAGCCATACTCATTAACAAAATACGATAAATTTGATATTGTATATAATAGCTTACAGATATTGTATATATAGCTTATTTATTGTATAAAATAGCTTATAAATAATAACTATTACTGAGGATTTACTATGAACAAGACTTTTACTAAATATTATATATGTGTATGTGTATACATAGTCGTCTATTGCATAATGATGGGCTTTCTTCTCAGAAGTGCTTTGTTGAAATGACTTTGTCATGAGACTATCATTGAGTATACTTATACAAACCTAGATTACATGGCCAACTACACACCTAGGCTGGATGGTAGAGCATATGGCTCCTAAGTTACAAACCTGTACAGCATGTTACTGTACTGAATAATGCAGGCAATATATCACAATGGCAAGCATTTGTGCATCTAAATATATCTAGTAGAAAAGGTATAGTAAAAATACAGGATTATAATCTTATAAGACCACTGTTGTATATGTGGGCCATCATTGAAATGTCATTATATGGAGCATGACTGTGTGTGTGTGTATATATATACAAACATACATA